CCTGCAGGCACCACCGCACCTCCCGAGCATGTGCTCCTATCAGGCAGTGCAAGCGGGTCACTGGTGGCGTGGTCTTACCACGCGGGCTCCCAGCATGTGAGAGGATAGAGGGGACTGGTGGCAGGGAAATAGTGGGGCAGGGAAACCGGGAAAGCATGTCCTCTTATCGGGCAGCGCAAGCGGATCACTGGTGGCATGGTCCTACCGCCCAGGCTCCGAGCAGGTAAGACGAGGGGGAAAGGCGGGAGCGGTGGGAAGAGTGTAGCAAAAGACAGGGATAGTGGGGAAGTAAAACGGGGGAAGCATGCGTTCCTGTCGAGCAGCTTAAGCGGGTCACTGGTGGTGTGGTCGCAGCCGAGGGGCCCTTGAGTCGACTCACAAGTCATCTGGTGGTGCGGTTGCACCAGAGGAGCTCCCAGCAGGTGATGGGAGTGAGGGAGCAGAGAGAAGGGCGCCGTTTGAGTGGACTCAAAAGCCACCTCGCAGGGGGGACATAGGGAATCAGTTAGAGCCGGAGCAAGAGGGTAGTGTGAGCAAAGGCGAGAGGCGAGTGTGGGAAGGATGACAGAGACGAAGGGATTATTGGGAAGTGGAAGGCACGGGAAAAATATGGGACGGGGGAAGGGGAGGGAAGGAGGAGGGGAACCGGTGGGTGGAAGGAAGGGGGCAGCAGGAGAAAGATTATGGTATCAGAGAGAGAAGGAGCGTGAGGGTTGAACGAATGCAAAAAACAAGAGGGGTAGCAGCAGCAGTGGTTCCAATTCAACCGACAACAACAACAGCAGCACACACTTCCCTGCATCCGTGCCTGCGCTTTGTTCGCTTCTCGTCTTCTTCTCATCCTTCCATCCCCAATTTCCACTTCTCCCTAGTGCTGCCTCCCTAGTGCTGCCTCCCTAGTGCTGCCTCCCTAGTGCTGCCTCCCTAGTGCTGCCTCCCTAGTGCTGCCTCCCTAGTGCTGCCTCCCTAGTGCTGCCTCCCTAGTGCTGCCTCCCTAGTGCTGCCTCCCTAGTGCTGCCTCCCTAGTGCTGCCTCCCTAGTGCTGCCTCCCTAGTGCTGCCTCCCTAGTGCTGCCTCCCTAGTGCTGCCTCCCTAGTGCTGCCTCCCTAGTGCTGCCTCCCTAGTGCTGCCTCCCTAGTGCTGCCTCCCTAGTGCTGCCTCCCTAGTGCTGCCTCCCTAGTGCTGCCTCCCTAGTGCTGCCTCCCTAGTGCTGCCTCCCTAGTGCTGCCTCCCTAGTGCTGCCTCCCTAGTGCTGCCTCCCTAGTGCTGCCTCCCTAGTGCTGCCTCCCTAGTGCTGCCTCCCTAGTGCTGCCTCCCTAGTGCTGCCTCCCTAGTGCTGCCTCCCTAGTGCTGCCTCCCTAGTGCTGCCTCCCTAGTGCTGCCTCCCTAGTGCTGCCTCCCTAGTGCTGCCTCCCTAGTGCTGCCTCCCTAGTGCTGCCTCCCTAGTGCTGCCTCCCTAGTGCTGCCTCCCTAGTGCTGCCTCCCTAGTGCTGCCTCCCTAGTGCTGCCTCCCTAGTGCTGCCTCCCTAGTGCTGCCTCCCTAGTGCTGCCTCCCTAGTGCTGCCTCCCTAGTGCTGCCTCCCTAGTGCTGCCTCCCTAGTGCTGCCTCCCTAGTGCTGCCTCCCTAGTGCTGCCTCCCTAGTGCTGCCTCCCTAGTGCTGCCTCCCTAGTGCTGCCTCCCTAGTGCTGCCTCCCTAGTGCTGCCTCCCTAGTGCTGCCTCCCTAGTGCTGCCTCCCTAGTGCTGCCTCCCTAGTGCTGCCTCCCTAGTGCTGCCTCCCTAGTGCTGCCTCCCTAGTGCTGCCTCCCTAGTGCTGCCTCCCTAGTGCTGCCTCCCTAGTGCTGCCTCCCTAGTGCTGCCTCCCTAGTGCTGCCTCCCTAGTGCTGCCTCCCTAGTGCTGCCTCCCTAGTGCTGCCTCCCTAGTGCTGCCTCCCTAGTGCTGCCTCCCAAGTGCTGCCTCCCTAGTGCTGCCTCCCTAGTGCTGCCTCCCTAGTGCTGCCTCCCTAGTGCTGCCTCCCTAGTGCTGCCTCCCTAGTGCTGCCTCCCTAGTGCTGCCTCCCTAGTGCTGCCTCCCTAGTGCTGCCTCCCTAGTGCTGCCTCCCTAGTGCTGCCTCCCTAGTGCTGCCTCCCTAGTGCTGCCTCCCTAGTGCTGCCTCCCTAGTGCTGCCTCCCTAGTGCTGCCTCCCTAGTGCTGCCTCCCTAGTGCTGCCTCCCTAGTGCTGCCTCCCTAGTGCTGCCTCCCTAGTGCTGCCTCCCTAGTGCTGCCTCCCTAGTGCTGCCTCCCTAGTGCTGCCTCCCTAGTGCTGCCTCCCTAGTGCTGCCTCCCTAGTGCTGCCTCCCTAGTGCTGTGCTGCCTCCCTAGTGCTGCCTCCCTAGTGCTGCCTCCCTAGTGCTGCCTCCCTAGTGCTGTGCTGCCTCCCTAGTGCTGCCTCCCTAGTGCTGCCTCCCTAGTGCTGCCTCCCTAGTGCTGCCTCCCTAGTGCTGCCTCCCTAGTGCTGCCTCCCTAGTGCTGCCTCCCTAGTGCTGCCTCCCTAGTGCTGCCTCCCTAGTGCTGCCTCCCTAGTGCTGTGCTGCCTCCCTAGTGCTGCCTCCCTAGTGCTGTGCTGCCTCCCTAGTGCTGCCTCCCTAGTGCTGTGCTGCCTCCCTAGTGCTGCCTCCCTAGTGCTGCCTCCCTAGTGCTGCCTCCCTAGTGCTGCCTCCCTAGTGCTGCCTCCCTAGTGCTGCCTCCCTAGTGCTGCCTCCCTAGTGCTGCCTCCCTAGTGCTGCCTCCCTAGTGCTGCCTCCCTAGTGCTGCCTCCCTAGTGCTGCCTCCCTAGTGCTGCCTCCCTAGTGCTGCCTCCCTAGTGCTGCCTCCCTAGTGCTGCCTCCCTAGTGCTGCCTCCCTAGTGCTGCCTCCCTAGTGCTGCCTCCCTAGTGCTGCCTCCCTAGTGCTGCCTCCCTAGTGCTGCCTCCCTAGTGCTGCCTCCCTAGTGCTGCCTCCCTAGTGCTGCCTCCCTAGTGCTGCCTCCCTAGTGCTGCCTCCCTAGTGCTGCCTCCCTAGTGCTGCCTCCCTAGTGCTGCCTCCCTAGTGCTGCCTCCCTAGTGCTGCCTCCCTAGTGCTGCCTCCCTAGTGCTGCCTCCCTAGTGCTGCCTCCCTAGTGCTGCCTCCCTAGTGCTGCCTCCCTAGTGCTGCCTCCCTAGTGCTGCCTCCCTAGTGCTGCCTCCCTAGTGCTGCCTCCCTAGTGCTGCCTCCCTAGTGCTGCCTCCCTAGTGCTGCCTCCCTAGTGCTGCCTCCCTAGTGCTGCCTCCCTAGTGCTGCCTCCCTAGTGCTGCCTCCCTAGTGCTGCCTCCCTAGTGCTGCCTCCCTAGTGCTGCCTCCCTAGTGCTGCCTCCCTAGTGCTGCCTCCCTAGTGCTGCCTCCCTAGTGCTGCCTCCCTAGTGCTGCCTCCCTAGTGCTGCCTCCCTAGTGCTGCCTCCCTAGTGCTGCCTCCCTAGTGCTGCCTCCCTAGTGCTGCCTCCCTAGTGCTGCCTCCCTAGTGCTGCCTCCCTAGTGCTGCCTCCCTAGTGCTGCCTCCCTAGTGCTGCCTCCCTAGTGCTGCCTCCCTAGTGCTGCCTCCCTAGTGCTGCCTCCCTAGTGCTGCCTCCCTAGTGCTGCCTCCCTAGTGCTGCCTCCCTAGTGCTGCCTCCCTAGTGCTGCCTCTCTTTCGTTCTGCACTCTTCCACCATCTCTTCCCATCCCATCTCCTTCTCCTCATTCTCTCCTCTCCACCCCCCCGCCCATTCCCCCCTTTCAGTGGTCCCAGCAGCAGCAGCTGCCAGCAGCACACGGCAAGGCCATCACCAGCATATCCTCCCTGCTGCTGCCGCTCTCCCCTGCCGTATCCCAAAGCACGCCCGATGACACACCGCCTCTCCACACACCTGATGACACACCTGCCCCGGCCGCACTGGTGGTTACCACCTCGGCTGATGGCACAGTGGGAGTGTGGGCGGCCAGCTGGCAGGGCGAGACGGGGGCGCCGGCGGGGCCCACAGCAGGGCTGACATCTTCAGCAGCGGAGTCTGCGTCGTCCACAGCCGTGGAGCCGCCGCCCACAGCAGCAACCCCAGGCGGGTCCACTTCCACGGCAGGGCCGTTGAGGTTCTCCCTGGTGGCAGTGGAGCGCATTGCAGTGGGCGGGCTGTGCATGGAGGCCTCTGCGCTCTGCTGCCTGCCTGCTGCTGGGGGAGCAGGGGCGGGGAGTGGTGGTGAGGGAGAGGGTGGTGAGAGAGAGGGTGGTGGAGGTTCAGGTTCAGGGTGGTGTGGCAGTGTGCTGCTGGCGCTAGGGGGGCTGGACAACAGAGTGCACCTCTACACTCGCCCCTTCACGGTGCGTTCAAAGGTTTGAGGGGTTCAATTTCTGTAAGACACATATAAATGGTATGCAGTCAGAGAGGCATGGAGGAGGGTGGTGGGGCAGGGAGGGGCGGCAGCGTGCTGGGAGGGCTGGACAACAACTGGCACCTCTACAGACTACACTCGCCTCATCGCGGTGCGCTCAAGGGGGGGGGAGGGGGGCGATAGGGATGTTGTTTGCGGGCGGGCACATATGCATATCATTCAGGGAGGCTTGGCATGGCAGTGTGCTGCTTGCGCTGGGAGGCCTGGACTACAAAATGCACCTGTACACTCGCGGCTCGCCCCATCACGGTGCACTGAGGGAGGAGGGCGGGGTGCTAGCTGCAGGCCGCCAGATGTATAACGTGCCTCGCACACTCTCACACTCTCACACTCTCACACTCGCATGCCTCATTGTAGCCTACCTGTACACCGGCCGGCCTCACTGCGCCTCATTTGTTGTTGTGTGGCCGTTACAGGGCTCTTGGCCTGACATCACATCACTACCTAAGGATCAGCTCATAGCTGCTCGTCCCACGCTCACAAAGTCACTCGTCCTGTCTACTGTATAACCTTCTTCCCTCCACTCCCCTGCTCCTCTTCATCCCCTGTGTTACCGTGTATGCTCCAGCACTTATCTCCAAATGTCTGCACCTTCCCCCACCCCATCCCACCGTACTGCACACCCCTTCGTGCAGCCGTTCTCCCCCTCGGCGCACTTCACCAAGGTGTGCTCGCTGGCGGGCCATCAGGATTGGATCCGCGCCCTCGCCTTCTCCCTCCCCATGCTCGCTACTCCCCCTGCGGCTCCACCGCCACCACCTCCACAGACGGCAGCAGCAGCAGCAGCAGGACCCGCCTCCCGCAGCACCACCCCCCACGTGCTCTTAGCATCCGCTTCTCAGGACCGCAACGTGCGCGTCTGGAAGCTCACGCTCTCTCCTCCTGCTGGCTCTGCCTCTCACACTGCCAACAGCAGCGCTGCAACTGCTGCTGATTCCGATCTTCTCAAGGAGTTTGGGGAGCTGGGCGGATATACAGCTGGACCCTGCTTCCAATCAGGGGGTGACACGTGGCAGGTTATGCTGGATGGGCTGCTGGTGGGGCACGAGGATTGGGTGCATTCGGTGATGTGGCACCCTCCCATTCGCTCTCGTCGTTCTGTCCCGTCCTCCGTTCCTGTTCTCCCTGTTGCCGAGCCTTTCAGCCCCGAGCCTGTTTCTTCCGAACCTGCTGCTTCCAAGCCTCTCCAAGCCACTCTTTTCCAGCCTCTGCGCCTGCTGACGTCATCGATGGATCGCACCATGCTGATGTGGCAGCCTGCCTCGTGGCAAGGCGCTGGAGGGCTCTGGCTGGCAGATGTCAGCCTGGGAGAGGTGGGGCACTCGTCTCTGGGGTTCTTTGGTGGTGTGTGGTCGCCACCTGGCAACGCGGTATTGGCCCACGGGTTTACTGGGAGTTTGCACATGTGGCGAGACTATGGAACAGTGAGAGAGGAGGCATTAGAGGGGGAGTGTGATGGTGATGAGGATTACAAATACACATGGGCGGACGAGAGAGGGGAGGAAAGAGGAGGCAAGGAGAGAGGACGAGGGGAGGAGGAGGGGAGTGAGAGGGAGGAGGAGGGGAGTGAGAGGGAGGAGGAGTGGAGGGCGGTGGTGGCACCGACAGGGCACTTTGGTCCAGTGGTGGACATGTGCTGGGATGCTCGCTCGCAGCTGCTGCTGTCCGTCAGTAGCGACCAGGTGAGGGAGAGAGAGGGATTTGTGGTGTAGCCATGAGTCACACACGAGCCACGAGTCACACACGAGCCACGAGTCACGCACGAGCCACGAGTCACACACGAGCCACGAGTCACGCACGAGCCACGAGTCACGCACGAGCCACGAGTCACGCACGAGCCACGAGTCACGCACGAGCCATGAGTCACGCACGAGCCATGAGTCACGCACGAGCCATGAGTCACGCACGAGCCATGAGTCACGCACGAGCCATGAGTCACGCACGAGCCATGAGTCACGCACGAGCCATGAGTCACGCACGAGCCACGAGTCACGCACGAGCCACGAGTCACGCACGAGCCACGAGTCACGCACGAGCCACGAGTCACGCACGAGCCACGAGTCACGCACGAGCCACGAGTCACGCACGAGCCACGAGTCACGCACGAGCCACGAGTCACGCACGAGCCACGAGTCACGCACGAGCCACGAGTCACGCACGAGCCACGAGTCACGCACGAGCCACGAGTCACGCACGAGCCACGAGTCACGCACGAGCCATGAGTCACGCACGAGCCATGAGTCACGCACGAGCCATGAGTCACGCACGAGCCATGAGTCACGCACGAGCCATGAGTCACGCACCAGCCATGAGTCACGCACGAGCCAGGAGTCACGCACGAGCCACGAGTCACGCCCGAGCCACGAGTCACGCACGAGCCACGAGTCACGCACGAGCCACGAGTCACGCACGAGCCACGAGTCACGCACGAGCCACGAGTCACGCACGGGCCACGAGTCACGCACGAGCCACGAGTCACGCACGGGCCACGAGTCACGCACGGGCCACGAGTCACGCACGGGCCACGAGTCACGCACGGGCCACGAGTCACGCACGGGCCACGAGTCACGCACGGGCCATGAGTCACGCACGGGCCATGAGTCACGCACGGGCCATGAGTCACGCACGGGCCATGAGTCACGCACGGGCCATGAGTCACGCACGAGCCATGAGTCACGCACGAGCCATGAGTCACGCACGAGCCATGAGTCACGCACGAGCCATGAGTCACGCACGAGCCATGAGTCACGCACGAGCCATGAGTCACGCACGAGCCACGAGTCACGCACGAGCCACGAGTCACGCACGAGCCACGAGTCACGCACGAGCCACGAGTCACGCACGAGCCACGAGTCACGCACGAGCCACGAGTCACGCACGAGCCACGAGTCACGCACGAGCCACGAGTCACGCACGAGCCACGAGTCACGCACGAGCCACGAGTCACGCACGAGCCATGAGTCACGCACGAGCCATGAGTCACGCACGAGCCATGAGTCACGCACGAGCCATGAGTCACGCACGAGCCACGAGTCACGCACGAGCCACGAGTCACGCCCGAGCCACGAGTCACGCACGAGCCACGAGTCACGCACGAGCCACGAGTCACGCACGAGCCACGAGTCACGCACGAGCCACGAGTCACGCACGAGCCACGAGTCACGCACGAGCCACGAGTCACGCACGAGCCACGAGTCACGCACGAGCCATCAGTCACGCACGAGCCACGAGTCGCGCACGAGCCACGAGTCGCGCACGAGCCAGGAGTCGCGCACGAGCCATGAGTCACGCACGAGCCAGGAGTCACGCACGAGCCATGAGTCACGCACGAGCCATGAGTCACGCACGAGCCACGAGTCACGCACGAGCCACGAGTCACGCACGAGCCACGAGTCACGCACGAGCCACGAGTCACGCACGAGCCACGAGTCACGCACGAGCCACGAGTCACGCACGAGCCACGAGTCACGCACGAGCCACGAGTCACGCACGAGCCACGAGTCACGCACGAGCCACGAGTCGCGCACGAGCCACGAGTCGCGCACGAGCCACGAGTCGCGCACGAGCCATGAGTCGCGCACGAGCCATGAGTCGCGCACGAGCCATGAGTCACGCACGAGCCATGAATCACGCACGAGCCACGAGTCACGCACGAGCCACGAGTCACGCACGAGCCACGAGTCACGCACGAGCCACGAGTCACGCACGAGCCACGAGTCACGCACGAGCCACGAGTCACGCACGAGCCACGAGTCACGCACGAGCCACGAGTCACGCACGAGCCACGAGTCACGCACGAGCCACGAGTCACGCACGAGCCACGAGTCACGCACGAGCCACGAGTCACGCACGAGCCACGAGTCACGCACGAGCCACGAGTCACGCACGAGCCACGAGTCACGCACGAGCCACGAGTCACGCACGAGCCACGAGTCACGCACGAGCCACGAGTCACGCACGAGCCACGAGTCACGCACGAGCCACGAGTCACGCACGAGCCACGAGTCACGCACGAGCCACGAGTCACGCACGAGCCACGAGTCACGCACGAGCCACGAGTCACGCACGAGCCACGAGTCACGCACGAGCCACGAGTCACGCACGAGCCACGAGTCACGCACGAGCCACGAGTCACGCACGAGCCACGAGTCACGCACGAGCCACGAGTCACGCACGAGCCACGAGTCACGCACGAGCCACGAGTCACGCACGAGCCACGAGTCACGCACGAGCCACGAGTCACGCACGAGCCACGAGTCACGCACGAGCCACGAGTCACGCACGAGCCACGAGTCACGCACGAGCCACGAGTCACGCACGAGCCACGAGTCACGCACGAGCCACGAGTCACGCACGAGCCACGAGTCACGCACGAGCCACGAGTCACGCACGAGCCACGAGTCACGCACGAGCCACGAGTCACGCACGAGCCACGAGTCACGCACGAGCCACGAGTCACGCACGAGCCATGATTCACGCACGAGCCATGGCCCTCAAGTGCACTGGCCTTTGCCTTCTCCTCCCGTCCTTCTCCTCCCGTCCTTCTCCTCCCTCCCTTCTCCTCCCTCCCTTCTCCTCCCTCCCTTCTCCTCCCTCCCTTCTCCTCCCTCCCTTCTCCTCCCTCCCGCCCTTCAATCTCCCCTTCCCACAGACTGCTCGCATCTTTGCCCATTGGGAATGTGGTGGTAATGGCGCCAGTGGAGCAAGCAGTGATGGGGGTGGAGCAGGAGAGCAGGCACAGGGGTGGAGGGAGACAGCTCGCCCGCAGGTGCATGGCCATGACCTCAAGTGCGCTGCATTCTGCCCGAGCCTCAGGCTCAGTGATGGCTCGGACGGAGGTTCGGGTGCAGTTGAAGTGGCTGGTGGTGGAGAATCTGGGCGGCCGGATGGAGGGGCGGACGGGGCACAAAGAGGGGTGAAGCGGGTAAAGGAAGGGGCGGAGGGGACACGAGGGGGGCCAGATGGGCCTCTGGTGTATGTGAGTGGCGCGGAGGAGAAGGTGCTTCGCGTGTTTGAGTCGCCCCAGCTCTTCCTTGACTCCCTGCTCTTTACTCGTTCCGATGCTAGAAACACGCCCTCTGTTGCTCGTAGTGCTGCCGACCAGGAGAGTGGCGGAGAGGGAGGTGCAGCAGCAGAGCCGCAGCAAGGGAAGGCGTGGCGATGGCTGCAAGCATGTCAGCTCTTGGCCTGTCACAGAAGCCCATCTACTCCGCTGCTGCCACGCGTATGTGTGCTCTGTGTGTGTGTACGCGTGCGCGTGTGTGCGCGTGTGTGCGCGTGTGTGCGTGCGCGCGTATGATTCGCCTGTCTGTGCATGCATTGCCCGCTGTCCTGAATGCCCACAATACCAAGTGTTATCACCCATTTTACTGTCTTTCGTGCTCCTCTCTTACCCTTCCTCCTCCCTTCCTCCTCCCTTCCTCCTCCCTTACTCCTCCCATACTCCTCCCTTCCTCCTCCCTTCCTCCTCCCTTCCTCCTCCCATACTCCTCCCTTCCTCCTCCCTTCCTCCTCCCTTCCTCCTCCCTTCCTCCTCCCTTCCCTTCCTCCTCCCATACTCCTCCCTTCCTCCTCCCTTCCTCCTCCCTTACTCCTCCCTTCCTCCTCCCTTGCCCCTCTTACCCTCCCTTGCCCCAACCTTGCCCCTCCGACCCTCCTTCCTTCCTCCGCAGCTCCCACCAACCCCGCCTCCATGCTCACCTCGACTGGAGGCGGGGGGACGGGAGGAAATAATAGCCTGCAGAATATTCCCTGCAAGCCGCCTCATTCCTCGACTTGAGCTTCTTGCAGGGAATATTCTCCAGGCCATTATTTCCTCCCGTCCCATTCCCTCCCTTTTATGATGACGCCATGCCACCGCTCGCCTCCCTCTCTTTTCGCCCTCTGATTTCCTTCCCCCCCACTCCCCCTCTACTCCCTCCTTTCCACCTCCCAGCGGCCCACCTCCTCGCTCGCTTCCTCCCCCGGCTTTGCCCACTACGGGGATGCGGGCGACACCATGCCAGTGCTCACCCCCTCTTTCCTCCCCCATCCCCTTCTTTCCCCTCCCTTTCCCTCCCTCCTTCCCGCTCCCCCCAGCTCCCAGCGATCCCACGTCCACGCTCGCCTCCTCCCTCGGTTTCTCCCAGTACGGGGATGCAGACGACGCCATGCCACTGCCGCCCGCCGTGCTGCAGCAGCCGCCCAGAGAGGAGCAGCTGGCGGGCGGCACGCTTTGGCCGGAAGTGCGGAAGCTGTACGGGCATGGGAACGAGATCCTGTGCTGCGCTGCCGACCACGGGGGAAGGTTTCTAGCAACTGCTTGCAAGGTAGGGACAGACAGAACAAGTACTTCTTGTTCGGTTTAGGCAACGTGGAAGGGAGGGAGGGTGCAAGGGGGAGGGGCAAGTGGGAGGGGGAATGGGGAGGAGCAAGGGGAAGGGGGAATGGGGAGGAGCAAGGGGAAGGGGGAATGGGGAGGAGCAAGGGGAAGGGGGAATGGGGAGGAGCAAGGGGAAGGGGGAATGGGGAGGAGCAAGGGGAAGGGGGAATGGGGAGGAGCAAGGGAAGGGACAGCATGTGTGCCGTGCGTGCGGCAACGTCACCTGATGACTGTGTGCGTCAAAGGCTATCAAAGGCTATCGCCAAAGGGTAGGCTTAGCACAGGCTTGGGTCATGTCTTGGATTGCAGTTTTGAGGCGCCTCAAAACTGTCTGGGAGTGCACGGCACGGCATTACCGAAGCTGTACGGCCACGGCAACGAGATCCTGTGCTGCGCTGCCCACCACGGGGGAAGGTTTCTAGCAACTGCCTGCAAGGTAGGAAGAGACAGAAGCAGCATTTTCTGTTCACTTAGGCAACGTGGAAAGGAGGGGGAAAGGGGTGGGTAAAGGGGAAGGGCTCGAGGGAGGGGCAAGGGGAGGGGGAGGGAGAGTAGGGGCAGTACGTGTGCTGTGGTGGAGCATTCTGATTCAATGATTCTGTCCTATTCTGAAGCATTTATTTGGGAGTTGCTGAATTTGCGTACATGCCCGTGTTTTTTTATAATTCTCAAAAAACACACGCTGCGTATATGCCCTCCCTCTGTCTTGCTTCCTTCCTCTGGCTCATTCATTCGTGGCTCCTCCCTGCTTCGCCTATCTCTCCTTCCCTCTCCCCACTTACCCTGTCCCCTCCCCTTTCTCCCTCTCCCCACTTACCCTTCCCAGCCTCACCCCTCCCCGTTTGATTCCTCTTCCATCCCTCCCTTTCGTGCTCCCATCACGCTTTCCTCCCTTACCTTGCTTCCACTCCCGTTTCCTTGGCTCTCCTCTCCCCCACGTTGCAGGCTCAGTCACCCGAGTTTGCAGCCATCTGGCTCTGGCACACACCCGCTACCACCGCCTCCTCCCTCTCCTCCACCTCCTCCTCTTCCTCCTCCACCGCACCAGCAGCCCCATGGACAGCAGCAGCACGCCTATCCGCCCACACGCTCTCAGTGACACAGATGCACTTCTCCCCCTGCGACTCCCTCCTGCTCTCCGTCTCCCGCGACCGTCACTTCTGCCTCTTTGCTGCCACCTGCTCTGCTGCTGATGCAGGTACGTCAGTTCCCTGTTTCCTGTAGTGATGCTTGCTGCTCCGTTTGCTCCCTGGCGGCTGCTCCCTATCAGCGCACACGCTCTCTGTGACGCAGCTGCACTTCTCCCCCTGCGACTTCCTCCTCTCCCTCTCCCGCGACCGCCACTTCTGCCTCTTCTCTTTCTCTGCCCCTCACAATGCTCCTGCTGCTGCTGCTGCTGCTGCCGATGCTGGTGCGTCAGTCCCCAGTGCTGCTGGTTCGCTCTCTGCCGGATTGTCCCCTGTGCTCTTGTTGCTGCACGACTCACCAGCTTCGTCTCACCCCACCGCCTACCTTTCCCCACCGCCTACCTTTCCCCACCGCCTACCTTTCCCCACCGCCTACCTTTCCCCACCACCTACCTTTCCCCACCGCCTACCTTTCCCCACCACCTACCTTTCCCCACCACCTACCTTTCCCCACCACCTACCTTTCCCCACCAACCCATGCAGCCCCCTACCGGCTGGTGCCAAGGGTGGAGGCACAGAAGCGAATCATCTGGGCGTGCTCCTGGGCGCCTTCAGGCCGGATTTTTGCCACGGGGTCCCGAGACAAAACGGTGAGACTCGTGTGCGCCTCCTTGCATTCCAGAGACAAGACAGGACAGTGACAACACTTCCAAGTGGTGAGAAGCCATCAGTGCTTCCTCGCATTCTTCTCTAAGGGCCTTTATGTTGTTGCTACCCACCACTTGAAAGCATGCATCACAGTATTGAGCTGATTCGAAAGGTGGAATGAGATGTGAGGTGATCGGAGATGTGAGGTGATTGGAGATGTGAGGTGATTGGAGATGTGAGGTGATTGGAGATGTGAGGTGATTGGAGATGTGAGGTGATTGGAGATGTGAGGTGATTGGAGATGTGAGGTGATTGGAGATGTGAGGTGATTGGAGATGTGAGGTGATTGGAGATGTGAGATGAACGCCCTTCCTGCCTCCTCTCCTGTGCCGCATATCATGCCTGCTCATGCATGCCCATGCATGCGTCTGCCTGTCATGCTCTGAGGTTCTACAAGGTTTCTTTTTCGGCACCTTAGAAGATGTCTATCAGACGCTGAGGTTGACTCTTTGAACTGCTGACATGCCATGGCGTCGGGTTCATTCCTCGGCTTTCACACAGAAGGCCAAGATCAATATGCCATGCCAACACCTCAACAAGTCACCCCACATGCTGTCATCATTCCCCCAACCCACCCTCCTCCCCCCAATGCAGGTGAAGTTGTGGCAAGTCATCGCACAGCCGCCCTCCGTTGCTTCTCCCACTCCCTCCACTACATCGCCTCCCTCCACTACATCGCCTCCCTCCACTACATCGCCTCCCTCCACTACATCGCCTCCCTCCACTACATCGCCTCCCTCCACTACATCGCCTCCCTCCACTACATCGCCTCCCTCCACTACATCGCCTCCCTCCACTACATCGCCTCCCTCCACTACATCGCCTCCCTCCACTACATCGCCTCCCTCCACTACATCGCCTCCCTCCACTACATCGCCTCCCTCCACTACATCGCCTCCCTCCACTACATCGCCTCCCTCCACTACATCGCCTCCCTCCACTACATCGCCTCCCTCCACTACATCGCCTCCCTCCACTACATCGCCTCCCTCCACTACATCGCCTCCCTCCACTACATCGCCTCCCTCCACTACATCGCCTCCCTCCACTACATCGCCTCCCTCCACTACATCGCCTCCCTCCACTACATCGCCTCCCTCCACTACATCGCCTCCCTCCACTACATCGCCTCCCTCCACTACATCGCCTCCCTCCACTACATCGCCTCCCTCCACTACATCGCCTCCCTCCACTACATCGCCTCCCTCCACTACATCGCCTCCCTCCACTACATCGCCTCCCTCCACTACATCGCCTCCCTCCACTACATCGCCTCCCTCCACTACATCGCCTCCCTCCACTACATCGCCTCCCTCCACTACATCGCCTCCCTCCACTACAATCGCCTCCCTCCACTACATCGCCTCCCTCCACTACATCGCCTCCCTCCACTACAATCGCCTCCCTCCACTACATCGCCTCCCTCCACTACATCGCCTCCCTCCACTACATCGCCTCCCTCCACTACATCGCCTCCCTCCACTACATCGCCTCCCTCCACTACATCGCCTCCCTCCACTACATCGCCTCCCTCCACTACAATCGCCTCCCTCCACTACATCGCCTCCCTCCACTACATCGCCTCCCTCCACTACATCGCCTCCCTCCACTACATCGCCTCCCTCCACTACATCGCCTCCCTCCACTACATCGCCTCCCTCCACTACATCGCCTCCCTCCACTACATCGCCTCCCTCCACTACATCGCCTCCCTCCACTACATCGCCTCCCTCCACTACATCGCCTCCCTCCACTACATCGCCTCCCTCCACTACATCGCCCCTCCTCCACTACATCGCCTCCCTCCACTACATCGCCTCCCTCCACTACATCGCCTCCCTCCACTACATCGCCTCCCTCCACTACATCGCCTCCCTCATACATCGCCTCCCTCCACTCATCGCCTCCCTCCACTACATCGCCTCCCTCCACTACATCGCCTCCCTCCACTACATCGCCTCCCTCCACTACATCGCCCTCCCTCCACTACATCGCCTCCCTCCACACTACCTCGCCCCCTCCCTCCACTACATCGCCTCCCTCCACTACATCGCCTCCCTCCACTACATCGCCTCCCTCCACTACATCGCCTCCCTCCACTACATCGCCTCCCTCCACACATCGCCTCCCTCCACTACATCGCCTCCCTCCACTACATCGCCTCCCTCCACTACATCGCCCCTCCACTCCACTACATCGCCTCCCTCCACTACATCGCCTCCCTCCACTACATCGCCTCCCTCCACTACATCGCCTCCCTCCACTACATCGCCTCCCTCCACTACATCGCCTCCCTCCACTACATCGCCTCCCTCCACTACCATCGCCTCCCTCCACTACATCGCCTCCCTCCACTACATCGCCTCCCTCCACTACATCGCCTCCCTCCACTACATCGCCTCCCTCCACTACATCGCCTCCCTCCACTACATCGCCTCCCTCCACTACATCGCTCCTCCCTCCACTACATCGCCTCCCTCCACTACATCGCCTCCCTCCACTACATCGCCTCCCTCCACTACATCGCCTCCCTCCACTACATCGCCTCCCTCCACTACATCGCCTCCCTCCACTACATCGCCTCCCTCCACTACATCGCCTCCCTCCCTCCCATCACTACATCGCCTCCCTCCACTACATCGCCTCCCTCCACTACATCGCCCTCCCTCCACTACATCGCCTCCCTCACTACATCGCCTCCCTCCACTACAACATCGCCTCCCTCCACTACATCGCCTCCTCCCTCCACTACATCGCCTCCCTCCACTACATCGCCTCCCTCCACTACATCGCCTCCCTCCACTACATCGCCTCCCTCCACTACATCGCCTCCCTCCACTACATCGCCTCCCTCCAACATCGCCTCCCTCCACTACATCGCCTCCCTCCACTACATCGCCTCCCTCCACTACATCGCCTCCCTCCACTACATCGCCTCCCTCCACTACATCGCCTCCCTCCACACATCGCCTCCCTCCACTACATCGCCTCCCTCCACTACAGCCTCCCTCCACTACATCGCCTCCTCCACTACATCGCCTCCCTCCACTACATCGCCTCCCTCCACTACATCGCCTCCCTCCACTACATCGCCTCCCTCCACTACATCGCCTCCCTCCACTACATCGCCTCCCTCCACTTACATCGCCTCCCCTCCACTACATCGCCTCCCTCCACAACATCGCCTCCCTCCACTACATCGCCTCCCTCCACTACATCGCCTCCCTCCACTACATCGCCTCCCCCTCCACTACATCGCCTCCCTCCACTACATCGCCTCCCTCCACTACATCGCCTCCCTCCACTACATCGCCTCCCTCCACTACATCGCCCCTCCACTACATCGCCTCCCTCCACTACATCGCCTCCCTCCACTACATCGCCTCCCTCCACTACATCGCCTCCCTCCACTACATCGCCTCCCTCCACTACATCGCCTCCCTCCACTACATCGCCTCCCTCCACTACATCGCCTCCCTCCACTACATCGCCTCCCTCCACACATCGCCTCCCTCCACTACATCGCCTCCCCTCCACTACATCGCCTCCCTCCACTACATCGCCTCCCTCCACTACATCGCCTCCCTCCACTACATCGCCTCCCTCCACTACATCGCCTCCCTCCACTACATCGCCTCCCTCCACTACATCGCCTCCCTCCTCTACATCGCCTCCCTCCACTACATCCGCCTCCCTCACTACATCGCCTCCCTCCAACATCGCCTCCCTCCACTACATCGCCTCCCTCCACTACATCGCCTCCCTCACTACATCGCCTCCCTCCACTACATCGCCTCCCTCCACTACATCGCCTCCCTCCACTACATCGCCTCCCTCCACTAAATCGCCTCCCTCCACTACATCGCCTCCCTCCACTACATCGCCTCCCTCCACTACATCGCCTCCCTCCACTACATCGCCTCCCTCCACTACATCGCCTCCCTCCACTACATCGCCTCCCTCCACTACATCGCCTCCCTCCACAATCGCCTCCCTCCACTACATCGCCTCCCTCCACTACATCGCCTTCCTCTCCACTACATCGCCTCCCTCCACTACATCGCCTCCCTCCACTACATCGCCTCCCTCCACTACATCGCCTCCCTCCACTACATCGCCTCCCTCCACTACATCGCCTCCCTCCACTACATCGCCTCCCTCCACTACATCGCCTCCCTCCACTACATCGCCTCCCTCCACTACATCGCCTCCCTCCACTACATCGCCCCTCCCTCCACTACATCGCCTCCCTCCACTACATCGCCTCCCTCCACTACATCGCCTCCCTCCCTCCACTACCAATCGCCTCCCTCCACTACATCGCCTCCCTCCACTACATCGCCTCCCTCCACTACATCGCCTCCCTCCACTACATCGCCTCCCTCCTCTACATCGCCTCCCTCCACTACATCGCCTCCCTCCACTACATCGCCTCCCTCCACTACATCGCCTCCCTCCACTACATCGCCTCCCTCCACTACATCGCCTCCCTCCACTACATCGCCTCCCTCCACTACATCGCCTCCCTCCACTACATCGCCTCCCTCCACTACATCGCCTCCCTCCACTACATCGCCTCCCTCCACTACATCGCCTCCCTCCACTACATCGCCTCCCTCCACTACATCGCCTCCCTCCACTACATCGCCTCCCTCCACTACATCGCCTCCCTCCACTACATCGCCTCCCTCCACTACATCGCCTCCCTCCACTACATCGCCTCCCTCCACTACATCGCCTCCCTCCACTACATCGCCTCCCTCCACTACATCGCCTCCCTCCACTACATCGCCTCCCTCCACTACATCGCCTCCCTCCACTACATCGCCTCCCTCCACTACATCGCCTCCCTCCACTACATCGCCTCCCTCCACTACATCGCCTCCCTCCACTACATCGCCTCCCTCCACTACATCGCCTCCCTCCACTACATCGCCTCCCTCCACTACATCGCCTCCCTCCACTACATCGCCTCCCTCCACTACATCGCCTCCCTCCACTACATCGCCTCCCTCCACTACATCGCCTCCCTCCACTACATCGCCTCCCTCCACTACATCGCCTCCCTCCACTACATCGCCTCCCTCCACTACATCGCCTCCCTCCACTACATCGCCTCCCTCCACTACATCGCCTCCCTCCACTACATCGCCTCCCTCCACTACATCGCCTCCCTCCACTACATCGCCTCCCTCCACTACATCGCCTCCCTCCACTACATCGCCTCCCTCCACTACATCGCCTCCCTCCACTACATCGCCTCCCTCCACTACATCGCCTCCCTCCACTACATCGCCTCCCTCCACTACATCGCCTCCCTCCACTACATCGCCTCCCTCCACTACATCGCCTCCCTCCACTACATCGCCTCCCTCCACTACATCGCCTCCCTCCACTACATCGCCTCCCTCCACTACATCGCCTCCCTCCACTACATCGCCTCCCTCCACTACATCGCCTCCCTCCACTACATCGCCTCCCTCCACTACATCGCCTCCCTCCACTACATCGCCTCCCTCCACACACACACTCCTCGCAACCCTCCCCACCTTCCCCCACCCAGTCACTGCAGTGGCCTGGTCTCCTTACCTCCCACCCCTCACTCCTTGCCCTCATTCACCACCCTCCACAATTTCCCCACCTGCTGATCCTGCCTCTGCCTCTCCTACTACTGCAACTGCACTGCGCTCGCCTCTTGCGGTTGGCTTAGAGAACGGGGGAATACAGCTGTGGAGCGCAGACCTTTCTCCTTTTGGCACATCTGCCCACCAGCATCCTGCTGCATCACCCACTTCCACCGCACTCCAACCCTCGCCTTCTCCATCCAAGCTCCACCTGCAGCGTCTGGTCGCTTTTAGTGTCATCCATTGCCACCTGGCAGCTGTTCATAGGCTGAGATGGCGAGGGGAAGTTGGAGCGAGTGGTAGAGGAGCAGGAGAGGTTAGGGTTACTGGGTGTAGCAGGGAGGTAGGTGATGAAGAGGTGGGGGGAGGGAGGTGTTTGGAGTTGGCTAGCTGCTCAGATGACCATTCTGTGAGGCTGTTTCGGATCAACGTGCATCATTTGTAACAGCAGCTCTTCTAAACTGGTTTGCTGATTTTATTTCACGACAGATCACGACTTAAACTGAAGCTCTACATGCTGTCACACTCCACCGTTGGCCAAATATTTTGTCACATTCTGGCAGTTGTATAATTGGTAAGCCATTGCTACTGGCACTTCTCAAGGAAAAACCCAAGGCTACAACCATGCACTCTCACTCACTGCAATCAAACACAGCAGCATCCAAATGCTTGCGGACCTACGGCTTTTTACCAATTGATTTTGTCTAATCAGTGCTACCGCAAAGCGTACCTTCGGCACACCACCTCAACCCCCAACCACTGAGCGCCCAAGCAATCGCTGAGGTGCTCATGGCGCCCCTCGGCGTCGGCAATTAATAAATAGAGATCCAGCTCATCTAACAAAAGGCCCAAGGCGTAGGGCTCCTCTGTGACCTGCAGGCCGCCGGGCCAATCAAATCGCAGCTGTTAGGCAGCACCGTTTGCGTAGGACTAGACAAGCAGGCAGCATAAAAACCCTCCGTGCACTGGACAGGCTTAACTAAAACGTGCGGCCATCGGCAAATTCAGCATAGACAGCCTGCGCGCCGGGTGGGGCAGCAGCACGTGCAACTCACAGTGGCCGCCATGCTCGTGTGGGCCTACCGTGATACAGAAAAGAAATCTGGTCTGGATGCTGGAACTGCTCAATAGCGTCTGGCGCCGGGCGCCGGCACGCCGGGGAAGGACCACCCTGTAGAGGGCGGGCTGGCGTGAGGCGGGCTGGCGTGAGGCGGGCTGGCGTGAGGCGGGCTGGCGTGAGGCGGGCTGGTGTGAGGGAGGGTGCCGGGAGCGCGTTTGGGGCGCAAGGGCGCGCTCATGACTCATGCGCCTCCTTCTTGCTCGATGGCGTTCGAGGCGCCTACTTCTCGCTTGACGGCGTTTGAGGCGCCTCAAAAGGTGCCTCCTTCTCGGTCGACGGTGAGGCCAGCATGCCGCGTGCTAGTTCAGCCAGCCCGGCGGCGGGAATACACAGCCAATCAGGACGGTGTGCGGCTTCGTAGCACACCTCATAGGCCGCTCTTTCGAGCAGGGCCAGTTCCAGCAGGCTGTGCTCCGCGCCGCACTTGAGCCAAGGGTGGGGCGCTTGGTCAGCCACCGCATGGTATCCCTGCAAAAAAGCACTGCGAGCACGCACAAGGAAGCGCGACAGCAAGGCTTCCCGGCGCACCTGAGGCGCCGGCTCCGAGGCCATAGGCTTCTTATTCACGATCCCCAACGTCTCCGTGGCGCAGGCAGGGCCGGTGAGCGGACCTGGAAAGCTGAGCATGGCAGCAGCGGCGTAATCGAATGAGCGCAGCAGACCCGCCACGTCACGCAGGGGGGTGGACTTTGCGCGCCGCTGGGCAAACGGACGCGCCGGTTCGCCTTCAAAATCAACCAGGTAAGCGTCGGTGCCGATGTCAGTGCCGGCGCCAGCGCGGCGAGCGACCAGAACCTGGCCCAGATGGAAGTCGCCATGAATGCGCAGGTACAGCGAGTCTTGCTCCAGGCACGCGCGCTCGCGTATTGCTCGCGTCAAAGCATCAGCGTGGTCTTGCAGCCATTCGGCGTGGCCATCGGCGAGCGTCTCGGGCCAGCCACCAAGCTTGCCGCTGCCACTGAGGCGGTGCGCGGCCAAAACCTGCAGCGCCCCTTGCAGCGTTGCGATAGCTTGCGCCGCATGCTGCCCGGCCTGCGCAGCATCGGCGCGCTCGGGGCTGAAGGCCGGGTCGTCAGCAGCGGGGTCGGCGAGGGCGCTGTGCAGCTCCGCCAGCCGCCTGCCTATGGTGTGGGCCATGGCGGCGTAACCCTCTAGCGCGGCATCATATTCTTCCACTGAGGCGCCGCCGGTAAGCGTAGCGTTGTCCAGCGTCCGTTCGAGATACTCTTTGATATAGTCCAGGGTCCAGGTCCAGGCGTCGCCGTCGTTCGCTATGTGCCCATGGACGAGAGCTAAGGTGTAACACGCGCCGTCGCCATCTTCGCGAATCACTTCGCCCAGTAACGCGGGCGTGTTGGCATACTCCAGTCGGGTCAGCCTGCGAGTCATTTCGGCTTCCGGGTGCACGCCGGGATGTAAACGCCGCACCAGCTTAAGCATGGCCTTGCCGCCCTTGCCGGCCTTGCCGCCTTTGCCGCCTTTGCCGCCCTTGCCGCCCATGCTGAGCGAGGTATTAGACTGATCGCCCTTGAACCACTCCAGGGGCGCATCGGCCGGTAAATCCAGCGCCGCCAAACCCGCCTCGCCGCGGAAACGCAGCACCCCGTTCCCACTGGCCTGCGGCGGCGTGATGGCGATTTCCCGGTCTTCGCGGAGCGCCTGGACGATCGCGTGGGCGAAAGCCGGAACCGCAAAAGCGTCGGCGAGCAAGCCTACGTCGGCGCACCGGCGGATCCGCGCCAAGGTGTGCTGCTGAACAATGGGCGGCACGACCGAATCGCTCCATATGAGCGCCAAGGGGACGAGTAGGCGCTGCGGCTGGCCATCGGCGGCCGTTATTTCCACTTCAGCAATGAAGCATTCTTCGCCGTCGTCGGGGAACAGCGGCGTAGTGTAAACAAGGCGCGCCGATTGCGGCGGCTGGGTGTCACGGTGGGGAAACCAGCGCTGCCGTATTAAATATTGCGGCAGCACGTCATGCTCCAAGGTGCGGCGCGAGGGTTCCGTCCAAACGCAGCCGGTTCGGCCGCGCAAAACCAGCGTGGCGTATTCGGACATCTGGCCGGGCAGGCCGGGATGCCATGCTTAGGGGGGCGGCGGTGGTGTGAATGGAGGCATGGAAGTGCAGATTTGTAGGCAGGCACTGCTAAAGTCCTGGTCGGCTAGGTAGTGCGAGACGAGGAGAAAGGTGATAGGGAAGGGGTGAGGTAGGAAGAGGAGTGGGATTGTTGGTTCGGGGCTGGGAGGGAGAACGTAGCTATTGGTTGGGAAATTGGGGTCAAGATTGTCCGCGCTGCGGAGTGCCCTTGGCTTGGAATGCGGTAAATTGTGATAGTTGCTGTTTATCGGGTATTTGTGTACGGTTTAGCTGGTTGGGTAAGGCAGTCGCCGTCAGTTTTGTGTCAGTTCAACGCTGCCTAGGAAAAGCAGCGAGGCGAGTCTAGATTGGATGGTTTGGTCAGGGAGGTTCACAAAGACCTCGCTTCAGAGCAACTACTCCTTTCGTCATTCGCCGGTCAAGAAGAGAGCAATCACCCCAACCTACCAGTTTCCGCAAGGCAGGTTCGGCACCTGTTTGAAGCAACAAGTACAGCATGTGGGGTGTGAGGGCGCATTCGTATCCCGTGTCAGACTCGAGGCTAGACACGAAGTGGAGGTTCGGAAAACCCGAAGTGGCTCGTTTGTGGGGCGATTGAAGGTTAGAAGAGACAAATTGGAGACTGACACGGAATAAAAATGCGCCCTGAGGAATGTCGAAGGTGTGAAGGGAACTTTGAACGGGCAGATTGCAATATTTAGGCACCTGACTTTTAAACCACCTTACATGTTTCCGCAAGGGTGCGGTACAATTGTGCCTAGGCCCTCTAGCCCGGTTACGACCGTAGATGGTGTTTTTTTGCATTGTATAATGTTATTTCACCTCCTAACAAAAAAAAAAAAAAAAACCTCGCTTCTCGAGCCTACCTTTCCACGACCAAATGATGCCAAACCTCCACTCCCGAGATTCCCGACTAGCGAGGGTACATGTTACAGGTGCAACGGAACGAGATAGCGATGTTTGCACTGTGTGTCAAACAAGTACAAAGTATGAGCGAAAGCATGAGCGAAGACTTATACGCGAACATGCAAACGGTAGCGCGGTACGTGCGAGCTTGCTAGTGCTAGGCTGACATCGAGGTTCGGGCTAGTACCGAGATGTAGGCCGACTCGGCAGGGCCCGCGGTGCATTGTTTGGTGAAAACAGTGTGTGCACAATTGGCGAAGCCCCGTTAGCAGTAACGGGCGAACAACGGCACCTGCTGTACGCGATGTTGAACGGCGCAATAAGGGACGGCGAAAAAATCCCTTAAAGCACCTCATTTTTGCATAGCAGTTACGGGTGCAATGGAACGAGATAACGACGATTGCACTAGGTGAGAAACGAGTACAATATATGAGCGAAGGCATGAGCGAATACTTATACGCGAAACATGCAAACGGTAACGCGGTGTGCTGGAGCTAGCTAAAGCTAGGCCTGCGTCGAGGTTCGGGCTAGTCCCGAAGCGTAGGCTAGCTCGACCAGGCCAGCATTGCATGGTTAGGTGAAACAGTGCGTGCAAAGTTGGCAAAGCCCCGTTGTCAACGAGAGTCTTTGGGAGGCCCCGTCCTCGCATGGGCGGAGCCGACTTCGTAGTCGGATGCGCGGGAGCAGCAGCCGATCAACAGCAGTGGGCGCGCTGGTTGACGAGGTTGGTCGACGTGCACGGGGGCCGCTGCGAGGGCGCCGACTTCGGAGGGCGCCGACCTGGGGTGGCCGACGACTTGGTGAAGTCGGCGGCCCGATCTTGAAGTGGTCGACGAGGGGACGCCGACCAGGTAGGACGCCGACTTGCCGGCACCGACCTGGTTGCCCGGTCGACTGTGTTACTCGGGCGACGGAGCTTCTGTGGTGCGATGGTCGCCGGGGTGGCTTCTGCGAGGGCGACCTCGGGGGTGGTATCCCGAGGTCAACGTGGCTGGTGGGCGCAGCAGCTGGCATGGGCTTTGCCCGACGTCTGCGCTGCGCTCGTGACAGGGCATGGAGCACCAATCGGTTGTGCGCACCTGCCAAGCGGGTGCACCGTTGTCTTGTGGATGCAACGCTCTGCAGCCGACATGCTGCAGCATGGCACGAATTAGTTGCTCCACAGTCTGGTTTGTCCATTCTTTTTTACCGTCGATCTCGGGATGGTAGGACGAGCTGAACTGTAGCCTGGTTCCAAACTACTCCCAAAGGTTCTTCCAGAAGTTGTGGGTAAAGTTCGTGTGACGATCGCTGATTATCGCAGCTAGAATCCCATGTAGTCGAACGACGGTTGTGATGAACAGGCGAGCGGTTTCTTCGGCTGAGATCGATTTCCTGCACGCGGCAAAGTGGGCCATTTTTTACGGTTTGTCAACGACGACCATTACAACGCCATTATCTCTAGGGCTCGAGGGTAACCTTGTGACAAAATCCATGGTAACCTGCTGCCAGGCGCGCTCGGGCGGTGGTATCGGCTGCAATAGACCCGCCATTCTTTTTCGCGGGCTCTTCATCACCTGACACATAGGACATGACCCCACGTGGTGCTGTAAGTTGGTCAACAGCTCCGACCAGTAATAGTACCGCTGTAGTTGTTGTCGCGTTTTTTCTACCCCGAAGTGACCAGAGGTAACCCCGTCGTGTGGCTCCTATAGTAGCATTTCCCTCAGCAGTGAATATGTTGGTACCCATATGCGATTGGTACTGGCTTTTACGTAATACACTACCTTAGCTTCTGTCAGTTGCTGTGAATTTCCAGTCGTGAAAAATGGGTCGGTGCGGTATCCGTGGGTGAATAGGCCTGTTAACAGTGGGTTGGCCTGGGCGAGTAGGATGGCGTGGAGTTGGGCGGTAGGGCGGGTGAGTGCGTCGGCGAACAATGTTTGACGCTCCCTTTTTGTATGTGACGGTGTAGTGGAAGTTGGACTCCAAGTAGTCCAACCAACGAATCTGTCGCGGATTACATTTTGGTTGGGCGCGGAGGTACTGTAGTGATCGGTGGTCTGTCCGTACTGTCACGTCAGCTCTGGTGAGGTAGCAGCACCACACTTTGAGCGCGTGCACGATCGCGAGCATCTCGCGGTCGTGTATCGGGTAGTTGCGTTCGGGCGGGTGAAGCTTGCGGGACTCGTACGCGATTGGCTGAAGGCCGTTCTTGAAGTCCTGCAACACTACTGCTCCTACGACAATGTCGCTTGCGTCTATGGCCAGTTCGAACGGGCGGTATGGGTCGGTGATGTGCAGTACGGGCGGCGAGCACACAATTTGCTTGAGGGCCGAGAAGGCAGCTTGCTCTTTCTCCCCCCACGTGTACTCAACCCCCTTCCTCAGTAGGTCCGTCAGCGGGGCAGTCAGCTTCGCCATGTCGGGGACGAACCGGCGCACGTAGTTGACGAACCCCAAAAAACTCTGCACCTTGGTCAAATTTGTCATCGTGTGCCATGCCTGAATTGTCGCGATTTTCTTCGGGTCTATTTCCACTCCGTTGACTGAAATAACGTGCCTAAATTTTTTTTGTCTGTCCTGTAAAAACTCACACTTAGATGCTTTTGTCAGGAGTCGATTCGCACTTAGTATCTTGAAAATTGCTTCGATGTCTTGTAGGTGCTGTGCTCGGTCTAGGCTGTAAATCAGTATATCGTCCAGGTAGACGATGATGCACTCATCTAAAAATGGACGTAAAGCTTCGTTCATGGTCATCTGAAAAGTGGCGAGGGCATTAGTCACTTCGAATGGCATGACCGTGTATTCCGTAGCGGGTTCGGAAGGCGATTTTCGGGCAGTCGGGTGGATTGACGCGAATTTGGTGGTAACCTACCCAAAGTTCGATTCTCAAGAAGACGTGGGCTGTGCGAAGTTGGTCAATCAGTTAGTCGGCGTGGGATGGGGTAACGGGACTTGATAGTCACTCGGTTCAGTGCGCGGTAATATACGCACATGCGAAACCCCCCATCTTTCTTCGGTGTGAAAAGTATCGGTGCGGTGAAAGGTGACGAACTCGGGCGAATTAACTCTTTCTTGAGCAGGTAGTCCAGCTGCTTCCGCAATTCGTCCAGTTCGGGTTGGGTCAGTCGGAACTGTCGGAGTGTTGTTG